AAGTTCTGGTTTGTTGCCATGAATATTATGTGGTTTATTTCTTTTTGTCTTTGCTCAGTAGTTTCTTTCTGTATGCTTAAAAATTCAAGAATAATCTCCCAAAGTTACTGGTCTAGCCTGGTGTGAAGATTCAAGTAGCTTACTTCAGGCTGTTTTAAATGCAGTAAAGGGAGGGAGCGGGGAATGAGTCTTTTTTTGTTTAAATTTTTTAAAATTATATTTTTGTACCTATTTTTAGGAAATATAGGTACAAAAATTTCTTTTGTAAAGTTTCAAACTCAGCACTTAACAGAAAGTTTCTTAATTCTTTAACTCATGTTTCATATTGATTTATTTTAACTTAGAGTTGCTTTAATTCCTATAAAGTTGCTTTGATATAGAATCTCAAGTTCTGGAAAGAAGTTAATAAAGAACATGGCTTTATTAGACTACAACAAAATGTTGCATAAGTCAAATATGTTTTGTTTTTGCTTATATTCTACAAGTAAAATGAAGTCTCATTTTATCCTACTCTGAACTGTATGCAAAAAAAATATGAGTGAATTTTTTTGAGTATGGAATATTATTTTGAAAACCTAATCTTAGTCTACCGTTGTCATTGATTTGTTAGAAAACTTAAAGTAAATTTCCGTTTACATTGAAGATTTTTAGTTACTTCTGTATTTAAGAGATCTGATGACTTAATTTAATATATTTTTTTCATTCACCCGCTATATATGTCAGGGACTGGTGATATGTAGACCAATAAGATATATTCCCTGTCCTCAAGAAATTTATCATCTTGTGGCTCATTTGTACAAAATCATGTGCTGATCATCAATCCATAAAACAATGTCAGCAAACTTCTTTGAATAAAGTGGTGGCCACTGCCATGAAGCAGTGGAAAAGGTGGTGATCTCTGACTCTGGAGTTCCCTGCCATTACTGAATCACACTGGTTGAAGAATAGATGGTGAAGCTTTTCTTGTTTCCTTTGGGCAGGTGGCTACTTCATCGTTAAAGGAGTAGAAAAAGTTATTCTTATCCAAGAGCAGCTGTCTAAGAACAGGATCATCGTGGAAGCTGATAGAAAAGGGGCAGTTGGAGCTTCAGTTACCAGGTATAGAAAGTGGAGATGTTCTTAAGAAATATTGGTAATTCCATTAATTCCAGATGGCTGTCTTTCAATATAGAGGCGGCCAGTTATTTCTCTCTAATAACAGGCATTGTAATATTTAAAGTATCTGCATTCAATTTATTGTGTAAGTCTATAAGCATAGGGTATTGGTTTAAAATTTTCAGTGATGAAAGTGTGAAACATTGTTTAAAAAGTCACTAGTCATTTTACTTAAGTTTGATTTCCTGGTAACTTGTAACATTAAAGGAACTTAAAAAAACATAAAACCACTTTTCAGTTTTCATGCTCCTTTTCAGTCTTTGACCATTTCCATGTGTGGTCCTACACTGATAAAACCACAAACTGTTCTGTACTTAATATGAATGACTTGTATCACAGACTTAACATTTTATTGTTAGTTTTATAGACCAGCCTCTTTCACAGTATACTCATTTTTACAACAGCATCCCTTATAGCGCTTCTGTAACTTCTTTTCTTTGGTTTATTATCACATGTAATTTGAAATTTGGAGGTTAAAGAGTTCAGGGAATAGAAAGATTTGTGGCATAGATTATGTGTCAGTGTGCACTAAAGTTTCTCTCCTGACAATCTATAGTGAACTAATTAGATCAGAATTTCTGCAGTTTTCTTACTGATGAAGAGACAGTTAACAATATGGCTAATTTTGAGCACCTACTAGAAGCCAGACAAAGTATTAGGTACTTTACATAAATTATTTGTCACCTCAGTCCTCCAAGATAAGTGGTATTATCTCCATTTTACAGCTGAGTAACAGGCCTTAAGCTCAGGGTCACCTCAATTGTAAAAGGTAGCCAGCATCTGAACCATTTCAACCCAGATACAATAATTCTGCAACCCATGTCTTCCCATTGTCCATAACTTTGGAGCCAAGCCAATCTGGATTTGCATCCTAAAACTGTGGTTTTTTAGCTGTGAGGCACTGGAGTGTGCAGTTACTTAACTGCTCTAAGCATTGGTTTCCTCATATGTGATTTGGAGACAGCACTTCAAAGTAAGTGTTATTATGTAGAAGATTAGAGCTAATATAAAAAAACTGGGTAGCAGTGCATAGTATATAGCAGATAGTCACTATGTGTTACTATTGTAGTTGATTAGCACTTTCTTTTTTTTTTTTTTCTTTCAGGATATTATGAGGGTACAAACATTTTGATTACATTTTATGCCTTTGCCTCACCCAAGCGAGGATTAGAGGCTTGCCCTTCCCCTCTACAATGCTCACCGCATCCATTAGTTGTGAGTTTACCACCCCCCAACCCCCTAATCCCTGGAGAATATTACTACCGTGTGAGCACCATAGTGTTGATCAGTCAGTGCCAATTTGTGATTAGCACTTTCAAAATGCTTTTAAATCCATTAGGAATTTTATAACTAATAGAGATACCAGTAGAAGGAGATTCCTTAGTTCTTTGGCTTCACTGTATACCAAGACTATGGATATGTTTTATTAGATTATTAGTTAAAAAACCCATAGTATATAAATTAATTCCTTCATAGTTTTCTCATTATGATTTAGGTTTATTTTGAGGCTTTTGTGTTCAAGTACATAAAATTGGCTATGGATATATGCTTTACACTGAGTCGAAGTGATTCAGGTGGAACCAAAGTAAAGTAGATCAGAAGGTGATTGTCACTCATTCACCCACAAAACTTCTACCATAATCTCAGAGCTAAAGAAACATTTATTGCGTTTTTAAAAGTTCATGGAAGTGGCAACAAGGCAGGAAAGAGGTTGTGTACCTTAAAAAAATACTTATTGGAAAGGACCTTAACTGATTGTTGTTGATCAGTTGAACCTTATTGATTGAGGATCATTGCTATTGCATGTTACTGGCCTGAAACTAAGGATGCAGTTTAACCAACTTGTGTTTACTTGTAGCTCTACCCATGAGAAAAAAAGCAGAACCAATATGGCTGTGAAACAAGGACGATTTTATTTGAGGCATAATACCTTGTCAGAAGATATACCCATTGTCATCATATTTAAGGTAAGGCTGCAGCTCTCTTCTAAAAATTAAAAGAAATTCTTTCTCTGGTTCATTTTCACATGTAATTAGAAATTTGGAAAATAAGGAATTCTAGGAATAGAAAGATTTGTGGCATAGATAAATTGTCAGTCATATGATATATTTTAAATTGAAAGCTAATAAGACTGAGGTTCAGGATATTTTTAAAAATAGTCACCTATTTTTTAAAGATAAATACACCATAAAAAATTCTGAAAGTACAAAAGGATATATAATGATAAGTGAGCCTCCTACCTACCCTGTATCTAACCACATAGTTTTCCTACCGAGTGACACCACCGTTACTAGTTTCTTATATATCTTTCTAGAAATAGTCTATGCATATACAAGCACGTGAGTGTATAGTAGGTTTTTGTTCTGCGTTTTTGTTATTTACTTACATATACTGCATACCGCTTTGCCCTCAGCTTTTTTCTTTTTTTGTAACTTTCATCTTGGAGATAGTGTTACATTAGGAGATACAGAGTTACTGCATTCTTTTTGACAAAGTTCATTTGCAAGCGTGCCATAATTTAACAAATCTCCAGTCGATGGTTGTATATACCTCTCGCTGTTACAAAACTGCTATAATAAAATGTTATACATGGGCAAGGATATCCTTAGGCTAAATTCCCTGCAGTGGAATTTTGTAGGTCAAAGAGTATGAACCAAGTTTGTTTTCTTTTTTATGGACACCTAGGTTTTGCTGAGTTTCTATGTAAACACAAATCTTCAGTTTACAACTGATTTTTTAAAAATTCAGCTTGTTTGTGAATTGTTGGCTTAGAACCCAAAAGATATTTCCATAGAAATCATGTTTAAGTTGTATAGTCTTCCTCAGATACAGCTCAGAGATATTGCAGGTTTGGTTCCAGACCACCACGATAAAGCAAATATCACAATAAAGCAAGTTGTAAGAATTTTTTGGTTTCCCAGTGCATATAAAAATTATGTTTACCTTATACTATAGTTTATTAAGTGTACAATAGCATTATGCCTTAAAAATGTACATATCTTAGTTTAAAATACACTTTATTGCTAAAAAATGCTAATGATCATCTGAGTCATCTTTCAGTGAGTTGTAATCTTTTCGTCGGTAGAGAGTCTTGCCTTGGTGTTGATGGCTGCTGACTGATCAGAGTGGTGGTTGCTGGAGGTTGGGGTGGCTGTGGCAATTTCTTAAAATAAGACATCAGTGAAGTTTGCCGCATTGACTGACTCTATTTCATGAAAGATTTCTCTGTAGCATGCGATACTGTTTGATAGCATTTTACCCATAGAACTTCTTTCAAAATTAGTCAGTCCTCTCAAACCCTGCCACTGCTTTATCAACTAAGTTTATGTGATATTCTAAATCCTTTGTTGTCATTTCAAGTGTTCACAGCTTCTTTACTAGGAGTATATTTCATCTCAAGAAACCACTTTCTTTGCTCATCCATAAGAAGCAACTCTACATCTGTTCAAGTTTTATCATGAAATTGCAGCAGTTCAGTCACATCTTCAGACTCTACTTGTACTTCTGGTTCATTTGCTCTTTCCTGCACATCTGCAGTTACTTTCTCCACTGATGTCTTAATCCCCTCAAAGACATCCATGAGGGCTGGAATCAACTTCTTCCAAACTTTTGTTGATGTTGATATTTTTGACCTCTTCCTTTGAATCACTAGCGTTCTTAATGGCATCTAGAAGGATAAATCCTTTCCAGAAGGTTTTCAATTTACTTTTCCCAGATCCATCAGAGGAATCACTATGTATGGCAGCTATAGCCTTACATCCAGTATAGGATGGCCCCCAAGTATAATGTAATGCTGAAGTGTTGTCTAGTGTTCCGAGGGACAAAAAGGCTGTTATGTGTCTTATGGAGAAAATACATGTTAGATAAAGCTTTTTTCAGGCTTGAGTTATAGTGCTGGTGGCTATATTAATGTGTGAATGGTATATATTAGATAAGATGCCTTTTTAACAGAAGCTTACAGAAAATAAGGTTCATTTATGGAAAATGTTGTGACCACAGGCTTGTAGGAACTCTATTCGTAGGAGCAAAGGTTCAGTATTCACTATTTAGTATACAGTGTAATTCAGCAACCTTATAGAATGTAACTACCACAAATAACAATAATTGACTGTATATGGGCATAAAATTAATCTTGATGATTAGTTTAATTGAAATAAACTAGAGTTTATTGAGGAGATACCGAATACTTTAGATAATTTTAGAGATTGATAATACTCATTATTCAGTTTCACTTCAGAATTAAATATTTCTGTTCAAAAGTTGTTATGATAGAAATATTTTTGCAGTTATGATTAGAGAAAACAGAGAAAGAAATCCTCTTAGGAGGATTTACTAAATTGGTTAAAAAGGAAAAACATTTGGATACAAGCCTCAAAGGAGTAACAAAGAAGGGAATTGAGCCTTTATTGTTAAAGTTGTAGCCAAGTGACAGTGTAGGAGTGAGGGAGGAAAGTGGCCCTCAAGTCAATCTTCTGGTTGGGCGGTAGGGAGCATGGCCCTGGTTATTTGTTAAGTATTGAATGGATATTGGCAAGTCAGGTTCTTTAACTCAGGAAACATCCATATTCTAAATGCGATTGCATGAAGGAGGTTGTAGGAAATTTTTTTATGTGTGGTATAGCTTTATGTGCTTTTGAGTTCTGTAAATGAGATGGAGCCATTTATTTTCTTTTCGGGTGGTGGTGATGATGATAATCATAATAGCAGTACCACTATATCAGAGGGTCTAGACAGAATTTTTTTTTTTTTTTTTGAGATAGAGTCTCATTCTGTCACCCCGGCTAAAGTGCAATGGCATCACCACAGCTCACTGCAACCTCAAATTCCTGGGCACAAGTGATCCTCCTGCCCCAACCTCCCGAGTGGCTGGGACTATAGGCATGTGCCACCACGCACGCAGATTTTTTCAGATTTCTTTTCCAATTTAGTAATTCTATCTTCAACACTGGCAATGCTATTATTATTCAGCCTATTCATAGATTATTGAGTTAATGCTTAAATTTTCTGTTTGTAGAAGTTTTGCTTAGTTCTTTTTCTAAATTGCCTTGTTAGTTTTGATAGCCTCTTGTTCCTTACACTTTGATTCATTGTACTGTTTCTTAGTAACTAAAGAGAATCACTTTGTTTCCCATGAATGAAATGTTGCTGTCATTTCCGACTTTCACTAAAGCCTGTATGCAAAGTTTAAGTAGACCAAACATTTGCTTTTTTAATATCTATACTAGAAGAGCAGTGTGCCAGAGAAAATAAATATTTTATTTCCCTGGGCTCTTCATGTAATTACTGGCTAATTTTTCTGTTTTTTTGTAGAGATGGGATCTCACTATTGCTCAGGCTGGTCTTGAACTCCTGAGCTCAAGCTATCTGTCTGTGCTAGGATTATAGGCATGAGCCATCATGCCTGGTTGAGAGAATTCTTAAATATACTTTTTATTTTCTGCCTTCAAGGTTTGTATTTTTCAGCACATAAGTAATTTTGGCTTTTCTCATAGTGATCCCACAACACCCAACTCAGTATTTTATATACATAGTGATGAATGAGGAAAATGTTTTCTAACGATGTAGAATTATATCTCCAGCAGATGGCAGTATGTTCCCATGCATCCAAAGGACTTTTGAAAGTTAGACACTTGATGCACGGTATTGCTTTCTTTAGATCAGAAATTATAAATTAATTATAATGCATATAATCTTCTATCACTCATGTGTAAAATGCATAGATAGATGCATGCATTCATTAAAATCAGAAGACTTTTAGTAAGTACTCTTTTTTTTGGCTAGGTGACAAAAATTTATTAAGACACTTCTGTCAAATTTTTAAAATATTTATGTTATAAATGTATACGTGTGTGTATATGTGTGTGTGTATGTAAAACCTGACTTAAATCCTTTTTAGAGTGGGGCTATAAATTAACAATATGTATATTTATATAACCAGTAGTTGAGATTTCAAACTTCTTCATTTCTGAATATAAAAGTAGTCCTTACATTACAAAATCTAGAAAACCACTGAAAAGTATAACTGCATTTTTGGATATATTTTTTTCAGACCTTTTTCCTATGCTTTATAATATACACATCAATGTTTTTTCATTTAACAATGAATTGTGAATAGCCTTCCATGACTATAACTATGAATCTACATCATTATTTTTAGTGAGTACTATGTAGATGTTTCATAGATGTGGTTTAATTTACTTAACCAATTTCCTACAGTGAAACATTTAGGTGTCATTTTTGTCCCTCAAGTTTTCACTTTTATACACAACTCTGGGATGATTGTTGTTATACATACATGTTTGTGCACATTGCTGGTTATTTAGTGAGACTTTATTCCTGGGAGTGGAAGTATATCTTTTTAAAAACACTTGGTACATGTTTCCAAATTTTTCCCTGAAACCTATCTGTTACATTCTAATCAGTATGTAAGAATTAAAATAAATATTTTTAAGTTTTTAGTTCAGATAAATGAACTAAATATTTTGGTAATATGTAGTCACTTTTTTGATCTCCTACTATAGGGATGTTTGAATAAACTGATGGAAACTTGTTTGATAACCACTATTTAGACTTTTCCATCTTGGAGGCAGCATAGAGTATTAGAGATCTTAGAAATAGACAGATCTAGCTTGCATCTCACCTTCTCCACTTATTAGCTATGTACCCTCGGACAAATTTCCCAGTCTCTTTGAGTCTTAGATGTAATAACTCATCTGTAAAGTGAGAATTTTACCTAAGGGGATTACTGTGAAGAGCAAATGGGATCATGTAGTTTTTGAAAAGTAGAGTGCCTGGAAAAGGGGGTGCTTTTTTTCTTTCCTTAGTTCTCCTTACCCATTTACTGTCAGAAGCCCTGGAAAATAAACTGGGATACCAGAAAAAGACACATCATTTCTCTTTTAGTGTTGTGTGGCCCTAACACAGACCTTGACAGTCATTAGGACTTGATGGTTGTTGATTGTAACCCACAATTGGCTAAAAGTGACAGAAACAGCAGGGTTTCCAGATTACATGCTGAGTGTGAATATGACATATAAAGCTTTTAAGACATAGATCAGCCTTATTTATGGACTTGAACCACTACAAAGGTTTTCTTGCCCATGAATCTTTTCCTGCTTTACATTTTGTATTCCCAAGTATTCAGCAGTTGCACTATGATGGCATCTGTAATTTGAAAGTTTTTGTGGAAAAGAGGACCAGATTTCAAGGGTGCTACGCAATGTTTCCTGGAAACAAACTTCTATGGAAATTTACCGTCTTTAAAGAGAAATAATTACAAAGTCAACGAGGACCACCACAGTTCTCTTGTTATCTGCTAGGACTGCTTTTAGTAATAATAGATTGATTTTAGTCTACTTTAAAGAAAATTAGAGATTTCTAATTAGATATTTTAAGAAGTTATTCCCTTTTCCACTTTCACACAATATATTTCAACATACCACCATTAGTGTGCATATTATTATCTTCTCATTAGTATTCTTTCTTTTTTCTCTCTTTAAAAGTCAGACTTTTAGTCATACTTTGTGGCTATCCAAGAACTCATACCATTTTAAAGAGCGCCTCCCCTTATTTTTGTTCAGTGTTATTGCTGGTTGCCAGACTGTGGGTGACCTTCTGCTGAAATATATTATCTCTGCTAGTTTTTCATAAGGTTATTATGTAGCATTTGCTTTTGACTTATTAGGAGAAATGATTTCAGATATCTGCAGTACAAAGAGTTCCATATAAAGCCAGTTTTCAGATGTCTAAATTATGTCTGTAAAGTAAAATGGTTGGGCATTTAGCTGTCGTTTCCATAGCAATATGTCATTTATTTGTAGCTGTGACTACTGAAGGCTAAATAGTCATAAAGTCAGTTCAGTCTTTGCAGCTGGAGCACTTTGATGATAACTTGACTATCACCCCTATATTTCAGAGACTCGATATAGGAAGAGTTTAGTCCTTTTAGAGCAAAGCTTTGGTAGTAATCATGCTTTCTGCACATATGGTGTCATTTACCATGTGCTTGGCATATCTTTGCTTCATAGCTTAGAAATATTTGGAGGGCCTAAGCAGTCTGTTTAGATCCATCTTAGGACATTTGAGAATTTTATGCAATTATAAAATTACTACTTAGATTTAGCATCAGGATAACTTGAAGTGGCAATCCATATTTCAAATGAGGAAGGACTTTTTCATTACAGGTTACGTATCCCTTGTCTGAAATGCTTGGGACCAGAAGTGTTTCAGTGTTTGGATTTTTTCAGATTTTGGAATATTGGCATGATACTTAGAGTTGAACATCTTAAACCCAGAAGCCTGAAATTGAAAGTGCTCCAATGAGCATTTCCTTTGAGCGTTATGTCCGCACTCAAGAAGTTTTGAATTTTGGAAGCTGGATGCAGTGGTATGTGTCTGTAGTCCCAGCTACTTGGCAGGCTAAGGCAGGAGGATTACTTGAGCCCAAGAGTTTGAGGCTGTAGTGCACTATGATCATACCTGTGAATAGCCACTGCATTCCAGCCTGGGCAACACAGTGATACTCCATCTCTTTTTTAAAAAAAAAAAAAAAAGAGAGAAAGAGACAGATTTGGATTTTTGGAGCATTTCAGATTTTTGGATTAGGGATACTCAACCTGTATTATTAAATACTAAAGTAGGCTATCAAGTTTATAGTCTTTGTCACTTGGAGAGTACCGAAATAAAAATTATTGAAATGATCAAGATGGCCTTCAGTTCACATGATTTAGATGTTAACATGCCTAAAAAAGGGAGGCCGATCCAGAAAGCTACTGCTGTTTCAACTCTAGGATTCTGTTTCTGTCTCAGACCTTTTCCTACCTATCATTTTGCATGTTTGGTTTGATATCTGTCCCATATAGATCTCTTTTAGTGTTTGCCCTTCCCACTGAGAAGTGAAGTGCGTTGGTTAAAAGTTTAATATCAAAGATTTTAGGGAAACATGACTGGATTCCACTGCAATTTAGTTACCTTAGTATTGTTTTTCTTGTATTTTGATTCCATTGAAACCCATATAATGTTATTTTGAGAGATTGACAAGTAAAAATTAACTTTAGTTTTTCACAGAGAAAAATTCTGTTCTAATATTTGTGACTGGCTATTTGCAGACCAAGGAGAAAGTGTAGATGGTGTTACACATGTGCCATTACTATCAGAGTAAGTGCAACTTAATGTGCTTAAGCCAAGAATAATCTGTTTTTTGTTTGTTTAAAAATTAGAACTGATAATTTTTTAGGATTGCCTTCCTTTAATCCATGAAAGGCTGTTTTAATGAATTTGTGTAGTTTTTAAATAGTGGAGCTTATTTCTAGTATCCTTTGGAAGATATGTGTCATATCAAATTGGAGGTAAAAACCTACAGAAATTAAAGTACAAAAAAGGGGTTTGTATTCTGAGAACTTCTTGTTTGTTTAAAAAAAAATATTGGAGAAAACAAATTATACATTTGAACAAATAGTTTAAAATTCAAATAGTAAATTTAATTCCAAAAGTTGGTATATTAGTTATCTGTGCTGTGTGACAAATTATAGCACAGTTTCTGGTGGTCAGGAATTTAAGAGTTGCTTGGCTAGGTGGTTCTGACTCAAGGTCTTTCATTATTCAAGATGTCAGATGCTGGGCGCAGTGTCACGCACCTGTGGTCCCAGTTACAGGAGCGTGAGGTGGGAAGATCCATTGAGGCCAGGAGTTCAAGGCTATAGTGCGCTATGATCAATCACATTAGTGAATAGCCACTGCACTCCAGCCTGGGCATCATAGCAAGACACCTTTCCAAAAAAAAAAAAAAAAAACAAACCATGGCTGCAATCATCTGAAGGCCAAATTGGAGCTGGGGGGTCTGCTTCCACAATGGCTCGCCCACATGGCAGTTGGCAGAAAACTACAGGTCCTCATTGGCTGTTGGTAAGAGGCCATAGTTTCTTACCACTGGACCTTCCCACAGACTGCTTGAGTGTCTTCATGACATGGCAGCCAGCTTCCCGCAGAGAGAGCACTCTAAGAAACACAGCAGGCAAGAAGCTGCAGTGCCTTTTATGACCAAGTCTCCAAAGTCCTACAGAAGTGAAGCGTTAAGTTTAGCCTGTACTCAGTGGGAGGAGGATTAGTCTCCACCTTTTGAAGGCAATGTCAAATAATTTGCGAAAATTTTTGAAACCACCACAGTTGGCCCAAAAGGGACATAACATTTATTTAGCTTCCCCCTAAATCTTTAAAACTTTCAGTAAGTTTACATCTGATCCTAAAGTATGTAAATCAAATTTGCAGAATACAGACCCCTGAACATTAACTGTAGAATGTTAGAATCATAGAATTTTGAGCTGGAAAGGACCTGGTTGTGCCATTTCATTATAAAAATTTTAAAAACTGAGATAGAAAAAGTTTTCTGACAGTAGTAGTTGTACTGTCTGTGTCTGTTTTTGGCGTTATACTAGGACAAACACCTCAGGTCTCTTGACTTTTAGATAGATGCCCTTTCTGTCGTATTCAGGGTGATGTCGGTGGTGGTCTGCATTGGAACTTAGGATTTGCTTTTCACTTCCTCTCTCTTTTGTGTGGAGGAGAACTGAAAACTAGAGCATCAAAGCTTAACTAGACATTTGTCTTCTGGTTCTATCTTCTCTGCATAGCTAAAGGAAGAATTTTAATGCAAACATAACTCTTCCCCTAACTTCTAAGAAGCAGACTGTTACTCTTACAAGAGAGGTTTAGTGAGATTATGCTCTATTTCTTGATATGGCAGAATTCCAAGCAAATGTGTGAAGGAGTGAGCCTTAGTACCATATGGAATCTACAAAGACCTGCATTGCTGCTCCCACCTTGAAGCACTTAAGTGGGTTTCTTAAACCTGTTAAGTGTGTTCCTAGTTTTTAAAAATCTCTTTTAAAACCTGCACAAAGTATGGTTTGATATCTCTAGAAAAATTCTTTTAGCTTGAATATGAATGAATTGACAATTCTCAGAAAAATTAATCTTGTGACAATGCTAATTGGGGTTCTGCTTATTTTCAGCAATGTATGTTTTCTGATACATTGCCCTTTATCTGTTTTTCTTTTCAATTTGCCTTCATAATTGTGACCAGTTGTCTCCACCATACCTCCTGGCCTCCTTTTTTCATGATGAAACTCTTAGAATATTTACAAATTTTAGAAGATGGTACACAAACAAAAAGTGTTTTAGAATGTTTGTTTTCCTCTTTCTAATCAAAATTTCTGTTTCAGGTTCTTCTGCAGCTTGGGCTATGCCTGCCAATGCCAGATGGCACTGTTTCTGAGAGAAGAGCTAGCTTTTGCTTAGAAGTAATACCCACAAACAATGCCAAATTAGCATAAGCAAATGTCAGTGAGTTAACACAAAGCCAACACTCTTTCTATCTTTTCTTTCCTTCCTAGGCCATGGGTGTTGAGAGTGACCAGGAAATTGTGCAGATGATTGGAACAGAGGAGCACGTGATGGCTGCATTTGGGCCCAGTTTGGAAGAGTGCCAGAAAGCTCAGATTTTCACACAGATGCAGGTGTGTCTTTTCATGTTGTCCTTTGCTATGAAATGGAATTGAAGATTTAATGCTGCTCATTGATAAAGATTTGGATGCAATGGCTCGGGGCTTGTACATTTGGGAAGGGTGCTGGGGGGATGGGAGGTATGGTAGAGACATTTCTTTGACTCATTTCTTTAGGGATTGGAAGAAGGAGTTTGCCTAGACAAATTATCAGCCTGTGGTGTCTAATTTAGAAAAGGGAAATATGGGGTCAAGAGGCTTTTGTTTTGATGTAATAGCAAGTAGCATTTTTCTTCCTTATTTGCTTGAGTGATAATATTTTTCTTTTTAAACCATAGCAACTTAAGTGTAGAGCTGTGGTCCCAAATCCCTGGGCCCCAGACTGCTATTGGTCCGTGGCCTGTTAGGAACCGGCCTGCACAGCAGGAGGTTAGCGGCAGGCAAGCCAGTGAAGCTTCATCTGTATTTACAGACGCTCCCCATCACTCGCATCACTGTTTGAACTCCACCTCCTATCAGATCAGCTGTGGCATTAGATTCTCATAGGAGTGCGAACCCTACTGTAAACCATGCATGCAAGGGATCTAGGTTAAATATTTATATTTAAATTATAAATATAAAAAAAGGTATTTTTTGCAACATTTAGGAAAGTTGTTGTGTAAGAGTATATAATTCCAAAGCACAAATCAGGAAGGATTATTCTCATCACCGTCTTCCTCTTTTTCTATAGTTAATTAATAGTTGACTGTAGCTATTGGGCAGGCAACACAGGAAAAGTTGTTTGGATTTAGGAGATTATATTTTTGGCCTTTTTTAAAAGTGAAATATTTGGAAGGCATAAATCTTTATTACAAACTAAAGTAATATTGTCCAAGGGTTCCAAGAACATGAAGAGAAAGCATTAAGAAATATCCAGGAAGTAGAAAATATATAATCTACCCTGTGAACAGGAATAATTGGTTCAGTTTTGGGAGATACGCTATTCCTTAAAGCCTTGTAGGGCCCTGGAAGAGCAGTTTAACTTAGTGGTGCCCCAGTGGCTTTAATGAGCTCCATTATGTATCGTATTATAAACTTCATCATTGTTGATCAGATAACCCTAGCATTATAAAGCTGTTTGAACGGAGGCTAAATAATAGGTTGGAAAATCATTCGTTTCTGTTAAATAGGTCCTGACAGAAAAATTTCAGCTAACTAAATTAGATTAGAGCAGCGAAAAGATGGGCGAAATATATAATTAGTTAACATAAGAAAAACAAATATTCCTTTTCCCCTGAAAAGGAATCGTAACTTTGAAAATGCTTGTTCTCTCTGTGCTAGATTAAGGCATATATTAGTTATTGCAACTAATATAAAGGTACAGAGGCAAAAGTAATCCAAATGGTTGATACATTCAATGTATATTATCACTCGTGAAAACATGAATGTTATGTGCTATTCTAAATGAAAGTGTAGCAAGTACACTTTTTCTTATATAATAGAACTTTTGGAGATGTGGCCTTAATTGATTGCTTACAACCTATGGAGTTTTTGGGTTTTTTTGTTTTTTATGCCTCCCTCTTTAGTCTCTTCATCATTCTGTTTCTGAAGCCTTCACTCTATTTTGATCATGTACATTTTACATAATCATTGTTAAGGGCTCTAGTGTATAGAGAAGAAATTATTTATTACCTTTTTTGGGGGAATAGGATGCACTAGGGGTGTCATCTTGACCTATTTATGAATAGTTCAGGCTCTTAATGCATGTAACCTCACACCCTGAAACCTTGGCAACATTATTAGGTCTTCCAGGGAAAAGGTGACTTTCTGTTACATCAGAACAGATACCTTGCTCTCCTGTGTTCCTCTGTTTCTTCCTCAAAGAAGTGAAGAATCTTTAGCTTTTTTCCCAAGGGAATTAGAAGACCAAAATTTAATGAAATTTAGGGAAAATGGAGCTGCCTGTCTACTTATGGTTCCCGCCAACTGCTGACTTGCTTTAATCAGTTCCTTAATACTACTTACTGCTAGGTAACTGCAGCAAATGTTTTCAAGGTCCTAATTTATCTTATGTGCTAATGGCCTTTTAACAGGGAAGATCCTAGATTTGATGTTCAAATCTTATCACAGGGAAGGAGTTCCATTCAGTTGCAAGTCATTGGGAGTCAAAGAAAATGATGACAAAGTTCCCACCATTAAAGTCTAGTAGCACAAACATACATGTAAATAAATAATTAAAACATAATGTGGTGTGAACATGAATGAAAGTATTCGATTCTTATGCATAAGGAATTAAAATTTCAAAGAGAGAAGTAGGTTCGGAAAGACTTCAGAGAGGAATTGACACCTGATCTTGGTTTTAAAGCATGAAAAAGGAATTTCCCAGGCAGGTAATTGGGGCAAGAATTCCAGAGTAAAGAATCAGAGATACTAGCCCTTTCTTCTAGTAAACTGAAAGCCAGGTTTTAAAAATGTACATCATTATTACAGAATAATAACCACGTGGTCCTCTTCTTTAGACACTTTATTATGGAAAAATTTCAACATATACAAAGTATATAAAATAGTATTATAAACCCTTATGCACCCAGCACCAACCTTCAGCAGTTATCCACACTCTGACATTCATGTTTCATCTACCTGTCCATTCACTCCTTTCCCCCAGTGGGTAATTTTTTAGTTATGCATTTTTTTTT